GGGGCATCCCTACCTCACCCATCGACTGTAGGCCTATTTTTTTAATAGAGGAGAACGATCGGCCAAAGCATGAGACTTTCCTAGATTGATTATAAACTTTTGAAGTGCTAGTCCGCCCCCGGGCCAAGTCCGCAACCGCCCCCTCCCTTTATCTCGAATGTGGTAAAATTAATCTCGCCATCCGTCATTTTGAGAGGTCACAAGATACAAGATGTGTAAGCGCAATAAAAAAAATGGTGGATACAACACAGATAGACCCTAAACCGCGACTAGCAAGCCAAACTTAACTTTTCTGTAATCATTAAAGTCTCAATATGGTATTTATTTTTGTGTGTTGAGTAGGCCTACAGATTTACAGTTAGTCAACTATATGTAGGCCTACAGTAGGCCTATTTTATGTGGGATGTGACCTGTATTGTGACTAAGTCTTTGGATAAGTCCTAGAAATATTATGCAATCATCAACAAAAAGAAAAATCCCGCTGGGGCAAGACCGCCCCTTTTCAAGGGACAAGTTCGCCCAGGGCATTCATATAGGCCTATGTCACAATGGTGACTCTGATGGAAACTACAGAAAACGACACTTTCATCCTTATACAGTATATGTAATTACTAAATAAATTTTAAAATAATAGGCCCCTATGTAAAATAAATCGCTTTTGTAGGTGTTGTTGTTGTTGTTTATTAAGAAGTTGTCAGAGGTGAGCAATACTGCAGTGTGGTTAAATGCTGACTGGGTAAGTTTCTTCTTTTATTCGGTTTTTAATCGAGTAAAATGCATTAAAAAATGGATTTTTTTTTCTCCGATTGGATTCTATAGTAGTTGAGCGAACTTGCCCCACGGGGTATGCATGTATAATTGAACCTTCCGTCTGAAAAAAAAAAAAAAAAAAAAAAAAAAAAAAAAAAAAAAAACTAGAAGCCCAATGGTAGGCTAATAGTATTCCTTCCATCTCAATTTGTATAAAAAGGGTGCGAACTAGCCCCGCTTTCCCCTACAGTTATAAGTGAGGTCCAACATTTTCTTTGGAAAGTTTTATTTATTTAAAGCAAAAAATGTGAATAACCAAATATATAAATAGTAATAATAGTAGCACTTAAACATGTCAAAACTATTCATCTTCACGAATTTTAACTTTAAGATATGGAATCTTTTTATTTGTATCAATGTACCCAGAGGGAAAAGCAGATGTTCCAGTGTTCATTGGAATGTTATTCTTTCTGATGAATTTCTTGTGCTGAAAACCGATGTAGTCTTTTTGTTTGAACATCACATTTGACGGCGAAGACGCCGTTAATGTCCTAGATCTTTTCTGTCGTGCGTGGTTTGTGTATCTTTTATCAAGCACGGAATAAGACGACGCTCCCTGGGCGTTCACGTCCATTTCTTCAGTGCTGCACACCCGCCGTTTCACGGGATCGTCAGAAATATTAGGCTTAGAGGCAACGGACTTTTCGATTTCTGAATTTTTACCATCTCCAATTTTCTGTTTGTCTTGCAATATTACCTTCTCCTGTTTATTTGATATTTGGGAGTTTCCATTGTTCAATGCAGGCAACTTGTCTCCACGAATGTCTATTAAAAGTTCCCTATGATCATCGACAGAACGCGGGAATTCTATGTTATAAATCTTCGGCTCTTCTTCAAATGTCACACATTTGCCGTGGTCTGGACTGCTTCTTGTCACAGTTTTGCTGCTTTCTTTCTTCACTGGTGCTGTAAATGAATGTTTATACGGCAACCCGATGTTTTTGTACATCTGGTGGGGCATATCTGAACTCACAGGCACAACAACCTTTTCGACAGCGTTTTCAAAATTCGGCCACTCTGACTCTAGAGAAATTTCAGACACGGACGCATTCCCAGACTCGTCATCCTCTGAGGCGGTGTTGCACGGCCAAGCGGCAGATCCCTGGCGTCTCTTAAATAGTGTCGCAGATGCCGTACCCCTGTTGCTCTCTATTCCTCTGCCGTATGAATTCCGTGATTCCACTTCCTGACTGCGCCTTGCACTTTTACATTTTGGGGAGATAGTGGTACTACCACTGCTGTCACTGAAGTCAGCGTCCCCAGCAACGCCATTTCTGCTGGACTCGAGACGCAAAGCGCGAGCGATGGGGTTAGCAGTCCTCGGAACGGCAAGTCGCACAATGCGAGCCTTACTATCTTCACTTTCACTTTTCGTGCTAGGTGAAATTTCTGAAAGTTCGTTAAGCCATCTTGATGACAAAGTTTTCACTCCAAGAAAAGTATCATAAGGGGTAGTTTGTTTATTTGGGGAGACTAAGTAACGAGGGGTGCGTAGGCCTCCCCCTTGTGAGTTTGATTCACCGTTGCCGCGGACAAAAATTCCTTCTGGTTGAGACGTGCGTATTGGAAGCGTAGGGAAGTGTGACTGTTTCTTAATTCTTGCCACAAATTGGGATGAAGTGACCGTGTTTCGAGTGGCATCTTCTTCTGAACTTAGATTTGACACGTGGCCGCCGACAACTTGTACCGCGTCACAAGTCGGCACCGTCCGTTTCTTATTGCTCGCGTCTGTCCGTGATGTGCTTCGCTGAAAGCCACCATCGTCATCGCCTTCTTCGTCATCCATGATCAATTCTGGTACTTTTATAACGATGTTAGTTTTCCCGTCCTCTATGCTTTCTCCACTTTTTTCAGCGGAGTGCAACTCCATACTCCGAGCGTGTACGAATATTTCTGAACTCTTGATATCGGGCAGTGTATTGCCACGGCCTGGGATTGATGAGGCATTTCTTTGCATTTGACCAAAATAATTCTTGTCTTCTTCTGATCCCCCTGCCTTCACTACGTTCAAAAGTCTCAGTTCTTTCAACATTTTGAGTTCTGCATTCTGTCTGTTGTTTCTCCGGGTCCTGTTCGCCTTGTGACTAGACCGAAGTATTCGCCTTGTCACGAGATGAGCGCTCTCGGCGGGCTTCGGTTTCTCCAGAAGACAAGGAGTCTTTAGTTCGGCTTGGTTGTCCGCCATGAACGACTACCGTATCTTATCACAGAAACATCACATTCTCAAATACTGCACGTCCGTGTTACATTCTACAGTTTCTGCAGAGTTTATGTAGGATGTGTAGGCAGATATTCACAGCTCTGTCAGCTTTGAATCAACCCTGAAAGAGAAAGACGAATGTCTTAAGTAAATGTGTTTCATACAAGGTACATCCGAGAGCTATCATCTAGCTATCGATGCCTCTTCGTAAACATCTGATACAATGTTATCGTTAACGTTTCCACTCGAGGTCTACTTATCGTGCCTCAGGGGGCTTAGGTTTTTACATCTGATGTTGACGCAGTCATTAGGGTTTTATAGCACTTTTCATCAAGGTTGGAATTTCTGACATGATGTCATTCTTAATGCGTGTTTTATATAGAAACATAGGCACTAAGCATTAATCAGAATTTCATTTCTTTATAGTCTACCCTTCAAACTGCAATGGACTTAAAATGTAGAAGGGGCTGTGCGAAAAAGCAATGTCACCTTTCTCGGGCGATGCTTCTTTTGACGACTTTAATGAATTACTGCTGCTCGATTGTATGGAAACACCATCTTAATTCTATTTTAAATGTATCATTAAATCTTCAGTATATGTCTAATTGGGGGGGGGGGCAGTCAGGGGATTGAAAAAAATTTCGTTGTCACCCAATTTTCTAATAAAATAGTCGATTAAGCTCAAGATCCAACGGAGCGAAATTTGATCCACGGATGCAATTAGTATCTAAAATTATCAAGCGCGAAGTTAAACACACGTCAGTCGATATTAATCTGCAGGTGAAAAATGAAGGTGCTGTATACTTTTATACTAGGAAAACAAGACGATATTTGTTTAGCAAATTTCGCACGAGGGCTTATTGATATATTCCGAAATATTGATATGCTGTGTAAGCTAGTTGTTTTATTTATCATCGGCAGATATGGTTAGTGTTTTTGTGATTGATTATTAGCTAGACCTTTTATTAATAACAAAATAGTGGAGATTCTCTTATTCACTTATGACACTAAACTTTGCATTTTGGCTCAATGGTCAGGCCTTTGCTTCACGTGTATCTTTCTCTGCTGTTGAATTCTATCAAGTTGCAGCCATTTGTTGATAAGAACAACAATTTTAAAAAAGCAAATTTATTTAGTATAGCCTTTCTCACGACACCTGAGTGCCTCTCTTTGCTCCTTATTTGTAAAAGCAACAGAACGGCTCTAAGATGCTATGATTTACCCTTGAATTTACCGTGCATCGTTTTATTTGTCAATTTATAGTGAGTTTAGGTTGGGATTTTCTAACATTCTCTGTTGGAACGCTTTAACTTTTGTCATTGTTGCTGCGATTTTACGGCAAAAGCAAATTTGAACTATAAAATTGTTCTTTGATTACTGAAACTGTCAAACGGTAAACATATAGACTGAAGGAGCGAAACATACAATCCACATGTATACATAGTCACCTGGTTGTATAAACACAACAGGTGGCTTTGGGGAAGTTTGGTATTTTTTTATCAACTTTTATCAAAGTTTTTTCGTTCCCAAGCTAGAAGATAGTCCTTCAGTTTTATTTTTTTATCCGCAAAAGTTTTTTTCCAAACTTTGATAAAAAATAGAAAACGTTTCAGGCTAACAGTTTTAGCAGCCTCGTTAAACGAATTGTTACCAACAACAATATTTAATCAATTCCAACCCCAACTCGTAAACTTGGCCTGTTTGTCAGATAAGGACTCCCGTCACATCGCCCTGGTTGTGTCTACGTCCATTATCACTTGACGGGTTTTTTGTGGATAAAAAAGGAATCTTATTTGCATCTTAACATTTAGTTCCATCACATTAGGGTCCATTTTACCCTCGCTTTCCACCTGTGTCGTTATAAATTATAAATTAGAGCAAGGCCTGATTCTATACCTACTCGACATTGCACGCAAAACTGCAGTTTATTTACATGTTTGCTACAGCTTTCTGATGGCGTGTCTCCAAGGTAACAGTTTAAGAAGAGAACGCCGTTAGTTCACTCTCAACCCCTTGTCAACGTTTGAATCATGAAAAAAAACAATGACCTAGGATTTGAAATGAGGGTTGAGCCATTTTTAAAATGTAATCGCTTTCCCACAAGCGCCAGTTAAAAGCGGCAGATTAGTGCACTCAAACAGGCAGGCAAAGAATCGAACTAAGAAATAACACTTCAGTTTTAAATCCTCTTCGAAAACATCCTTAAACTTTTATAAGAACTAGCCTTCAAATATTCGCTTTTATTGGAGCTAACTCAAGATTTGAAGTGCTTCAAATCCCTATGAAAATAACTGCCTAGTTGCTTGTGAACATGTAAATCAAGCGGATAAGCCCGGGTTTTCTTGTGGCAAAAGCACAAACATTACATAGAAAAATGCAGAGCCAGGTATGAGAACTAAGACAGATGAGTTTCAACATGAACCTATTCTCAAAATAATATATATATATATATATATTTCTCAAGTTACTTAAGATAGATAATGGCCCTACCATTACCTACACATATAGACCCATACTTTGTTTTTTACATTCATTTAATATCGGTATTATACTGATTATGAACCTATACAATTAGATGCGATAAAATTACATTTCACCACTTTACTAGAAGGCTGTGGTTACCCACCGGGACGTTATCTCTGATGTATTCTACTATTGTGAAGCCAAACGCAAAACAGACATTTTGCCGATAAGTTTGTCCACTTTCTCTTCAATCACTTGGGACAACAAAACAAGCTGTTCGTTAACTTACCTGTTAGCATTTGTAGGCAGAACGCTGCCTGCTACTCTTCTTCCACTTTCCAAATGTCATTGCACAGTTTGCCACCCTACAGGTGCGTGTTCCGCATAATTTGTCGACAAGAACGCTCACATAATGGCATCACGTTTGATAAGTGGTAAATTTCCAATAAAAACACCCTACATTGATTTTTTGAACTTTGACCACTATTGCTAAGCAGTCGAACCTATTGAGACCTAGCCACGATGTAAATCGATATGAGCAGTCGCATGAACTTACAATAGAAGGGGCATTGTGGGGCGGCTCAGTTCCGAATTAGATCAATGAGTGCAACAAAAGTTACACTTAGTCTTTGTAAGGCTCAACAATTTCGCTTTTGTGTATAATAAGTTCTTTTTGTGTCAAAGCACTGTGCATCCTAAACTTTGAATTGTTGACTCAAGTTGGAGCGGATCTTGCTCAGTGCGATGTGTTTAATATCTCAACAGTTACCTGCAGTTTCTTTTGTTATAGCTTATTTTATGTTTTATGAGTGGTCGTTGGACTGAAAGTAAACTATAAATTAGTAAACTATAGAAAGGTTTATTAAACGCGTGTATTATGTTTTTCTGGTCCTAGATGAGGACAATTAACGCATTATTGCAAGTCGAATCTTGGATGTTGGGTTCGTACATGTGACCCTAAGATAAATTTAATTTATAAAGTTTGAGGGAGGAATTTTAAGTTTTCATATTAAAGAGATTAATTATCAGAGCTTTAATTGACATTTTTAGTGTGCTAGTATTGTTTTACAAAGTTTTGCATGAAGCAAATCTCTCTCTCTCTCTCTCTCTCTCTCTCTCTCTCTCTCTCTCTCTCTCTGTATGTGTTGACAGTTGCCAAGTCTAATCATTATTAAGTGACAATATTTTTTTTTTTGGTTTGCAAACAAGTCATTGCTTGGCGAACGCAATATAAGGCATTTTGGAACAACTTTATTTAGCACGCAAAGTTAAGCTTTTTAAGATATTAAAATACGCCGTGCGATGACACCATTATTCATTTGATATGTTTGTTTCTTAAAAAAGTCACACGTGCTTGGTTGGCCTTGCAGTCTGAAAGGTTTTGCGGAAACGTCATGATTGGACTCGGATAACTCTAAACAGATCAGAGATGTGCTAGGTGCTTTGTTCGAGCACAATCCGGGTACCTCTGACGCATTTAAGCCTCGTTTACAGGCAGTTGATAAAAGCGAGTCCAAAAATCAACTCCACTTCTAATGTCTGGCGATAACCCATAATAGCTATTCAAATACTTTTTTAAACTCAAACACTTTGTCTAAAAATAATTTAATTATTTTTTAATTGGCAGATGGTTGAAATTTGGGACCAAAAACTAAGGTATTTTATAATGGAATAGCATTATGTGAGGAGGATTTCTTGAAAGATAATTTCTCAAATTTTAAGGCATATAAATTCGACCTGGTAACTGAAATGATGGGAAAGCGCACGATCAAGATCAGGAAAAACACAAATACTATTAATGAATAAATAAATAAATAACTGTGATCATAAGTTACAAAGTGCGTAATCCGCCATCATTTCCCCACTAGGCAAACTTAAAGGTTTGTGTAACTTAAAAGTTCCCGTGTCAAAACGTAATAAAGGAAGTTATTGGTGCTAACCGCATAGGCCACTTCATTCAATCTGAAAAATTGATCGATGTGAATAATTCAAATCCATCTAGCATTTGAGGCAAATTGTATTTATTCTTCAAAAAAATTTGTAATTAACTCTGCAAAATGTTAGTAGAATTTAAATGACTCTTTTTAATAGTTTTCGGAATGACATGGTATCAATAAAAAATAATTTATTATATAGTTGAGACCTCAAGCAAACATAGCCAAACAGCTATATTTTTATTGCGAAAAAAAAAGATAAAATAATGGCAACAAGAAAATAATAAAGCTCCACAAGCTAAGAACTTGTTCAGCTATCAAATAACCCTCGATTTTGACATAACATTTTTATTTGCTCTGCCCGAATTTAAGACGACTAATAACAACAAACTATAATCTTTGTGTTTTTACAAATGCAAGCTCTAGTCCATTACCTCTTTGTGCGTTAGTGCGCTCGGTGCAAAATGTTTGCGTTAGTGGACAAATACGTGGAACAATATTAGCTACAGTCAGTTGAGCTTTGTGTTCGCTGAAAGCCAATGAAGACGGGTCATAAAGAGATAATATTGGTATTATTTCCCTTTGCACAATGAACGAATGGGGCTCTAACGGTTTCAGAACACTTCTTGTGAAATTTGATTTTTAAGAACATGTCTAACGGAAAAAAGCTGTCAAACATAAATTTACTCATATGCTGTGAAATCAAATACAAAACTGATAAAATAGGGCGCATTTAAACAAGTATTTAAGACAACTAAGAAGAGTACAAACATGACACGCAATATAGAATAAACTGTACTTAAATTATGACACTGCCAACACCGCAGAGCGGTTTTGCTCCTCTGTGGTCTCAAGTTATTCTGGGGCTAGTAACGGATGAGATAGATGGTTCCCTTTTTATAAGAATTTAACCTTGTGACAGCACTATACACGCACGTACCTCAGAGCATACAACATTGTGGTGTCCAAGGCGGTGAATAAGGACATAGAAGATGACAAACAACCAGTGCCGTTAAACGAAAAAAGTGTGACTTTAGATATGGTGAGTTTAATATTTTGTCTCTTTCGTCTTTTTAGATTAATTCTTAAATCTTTAAGGATAGATTTTTTGGTAAAATTGTGATTATGCGAAATGTGAATTTAGACGTTTGACTATTCACCAAATGGTAACATGCCATAGTTTGATGTATTGTATTCAAACTTCAGTTAATGGACCAAACGTAAAGTAAAGCAGTCTGTCTTTGTCCAACGACAAACTCCAAAGCAAATTCACATATTTCATTAGTTAGTTTGCATTTGCGTATTCTGTTGTGTATTCTGTTTCACTGTGATCCGGCAAAAACATATTGGTTATGTTATTTTAGTGAAACCGACTCCTGTGGAATCTCTATACCCAGGAAAAAAGAATCTAGGGAAATATGTTTCAGCTTGACATTGAAATTTGCTTTTCATTTACCATTAGATTTAAAGATATATTTTAATTGTTTAGTTGAAGTAGAATGATAGATATTTATTTATTTATTTATAACTAGTAAGCTTTTAAGGAAGCATTAAAAAGAAATATTTTCTCACACTGACCTATTGCTGTAGTTTAACAGCTATGTATAACTTTGTTTCATTACATTAATGGTAGAAATTTAAAGAGCTCGAATCACAAAGTAAATAATTTAGTCATCTTGTCATTTTATGAGAGATACAAAAATCTATGGAGGGGTATACAACACATGTTGACTTCAATTTCTCAATCGTTAGCTTTATACCATTATAGTATCATTATTATTTACCTTTTCAACTCGCCAAACATATCCAAAATTCTGTTTCATTTCTGGACCGATTGTTTGCGATATAGATACTGTGGTGATGCTACTTGCCGTATTTACCAGGAATATTTGTATATTGATTTGGACTTTGTTTTCTATTGGAATAAATGCAAATATCGACCATGTGCCTGGAACTAATAGACACTTAACAAATATTACATTGAGAAGCAATCAGTTTGGCATCGCTTCCAGGTAGTGGTAAGGAGAGAACAAAAAGGCATGTTGTAAATATAAATGCTCTATTCATAGCAGCACATGGTCATTGCATCAAGCTCATCGAATCAGAAGAAAACGCTAAGCGCACCGGTGATTGCCAATCACATGAAAATTTAGTATTGATATTGAACAGTTTTACGAAAAACATTTATATCAGAGCGGGTGAGATGGCGGAACGTCGTCGTTCCACTCAGAAGAAAACGGACATAGGCCTACTGTATGCTGATGGTGATTAAAATCAATAAAAATATACCACTACATTGGGGGGTAGAATAGCGTGAGGTGGCAGCTGAGTTTGCTACCTGATACGCAGAACCAACAAATACACAATGTATACTGATCACAAATTTCCATGTTTGCCAGCAGTTATACATTGTACAAGATTTCACTCGAGCTGGACGAACAAAAGATGGCATGGCAAACCAAAATGCGACAATGATTTAGGGCCTGTAGAAACGAAATCCTGAATCAACAAGATAATTCTAGGCATTACGACAAAAGTGGGGTTTTGTTATTATCCCTGTGTTCTAATCTTCTTTTGTTGTGAGCAGCACTAAAATGTGGTGGTTGCACTATGCCTTGTGCTTCAAACACCCGCATAGAATGTCAAATATAAGAACTCTGGCGACTTTTTGTCTTTGCGGCAACCGCATTCGTTACCATTAGGGCTTATTGTAAGGGCCACGTTTTGTGCAGTGGCAGTTCAGTTCTAAAAATTACCTTGTTATATTTTACCGTGGTACGGAAAAAGATTATGTCGAGCTTATTGTTGATATATGCAAGTCACTGCATTTTTAAAGTGAAAAGATAAAAAGTAAAACCTTACTTTAGTGGAGAGGCGTAGTAGGAAACAGAATCATTTTCCTTTTCAAATTTGCCATGGAAGTTACCAAACATGTCTTAAACTGATAAAAGGCATGTTAAGTTTGATATAAAATTATTACAGCGAATTCATACATGTATGTTACAAAACGTGTTTTAAACTGATCAAAGGCAAATGTATTTAAGATAAAATCACTACAGCGAATACATAGGTGGTTTATTAAATGCGTGGTAGTTAAATCATTGCCTTGAGCTGAATATATTCACTACAAAACACAGACGCTTGGGAGACGAAACACATGTCACAAAACGCAAGCACAGCTGGCCATGGAATGGAACAGCAAGGCTTTAAAACATACAAACAAATTCGAAAACTAGATATGCTGTATTAAACGCAAACAAACTAGTTAATGAGTCATGGCACGTGTACCGTACCCCTATGCCATAGGTGTAAGCATATTAAAAATAGTGATACGGCTAATTAACGGCACACAATACGAAAGTCGCGGAAGTGGGTGTGTAGTCAGGTGTAAGGTGTGATCTGGTAAAGCGGCTGGGATATTTGTTAGAGCTGTGTGTGGAAAATTGCTTATTTGGTGCATGCAGGGTCCCCGAAAAACGTATTCACGTAAAGCATTTAATTGAAAATTTCACGTTCATCCTACTTTTAGGGTTACGTAAATACGCCATTAACAGTTGATGATTGTCAGTAAAAGCTGTTTTCGTTGCCACTATAGTGAATAAGAATTGGTGTAGTACAATACGTGGTTTCAGTTACGTTTTTGTACAATTTATCGATCAAACTAATAGTCAAAATTTATAAACATGATTTCTGTGTTATTGACAAAGTAAACAAATTTGATGTTTATTGGAGTAAATAAATCAGATGCCTCTACGTCACGATATAAACATTAAATTTGGGAAAGCACACTACAATGTCAACACGTGGACTCACATTTAAATAGAAGTGCACCTGCACTTCTAAGGATGTTACGTTGCATTTCACTGCATTCTGCCTTTGGCTGACCATATGGCATCTGTTCAGAGGTTCAGTGATTTAGGGAATCTTGGTGAAGAATGCACATAAATTAATATTGAATTAATCTTAGTAACAATCTTTTTTTGCTATCATTTTTCCAATTTTTTAGAATCAGTGAACGCCTAGAAGCCGCATACTGGTGAAGCCATGGAGGAGACGGAAGTACCACCTACTCTCTTCACATCAAAATACATGAACGAAGCCAAGTTTAGAAATTTGCGAGAACAACGGAAGTTAGATCAAAAGATCCACAAGATAGAGGACGAGAAAGAAATGAAGGCTGGGAAATTGGGAATGCAAAGACGATTTTTAAATCTAGAGCTGAAAGAAATGAGAAGGAACGGACACCAGAGAGCGATTTGTCCGATGGGTTTGTCTGCCGAACAGAAAGACGCGTATAAAACGCTACAAAACCATCACCTACCCAGCATCAGTTTAGAAGAGTTCGACAGACGACTGACATCCTTTCGACTAGAGAGAGAAACAACGAACAAGTGGAAACAAAAAATTATTGCTAGGGCACGAAATGCAAGGATGCATCAGTTCCGTAAAGTTCAAAATCCGCCTTCAAATGAAAGTGAATCGAAAAAACCGACCCCCTTACTTGCGAATATTATAACAAAGCTTCGGGTTATGAAACAGGAAGGGGAACAAATTCATACTGATGATGAACATGATCAAGAAGACCATGGAGAATTTGATTTTGACATTAAAATCAAGACCTCACGAAGTGCCCCGACGTCCCCAGCAAGGACTATTTCTTTTCCAAAACCCAGATTTCAGTTTACCAGGGCGGCGACTGTATTTGGAGTATCACTAACAGACACTCCACGAAAACGAACTAGACCTTTGAAAAATAACGCGGGCAAATTCGGGATGGCTGTCACTCAGAGCAACGTACTTGATCTTACACCACACCCAAAAGAAAGGAATTCCAGCGACCTCGAAGTTTTTCACCATCAGGGAAAGTGCGTGTCGTTACCAGATCTAGTCTCCCGAGTGACACATATCGTGCACGCTTGGAACGCATTTAGGGTCCCTCTCCACGAACCTGAAGAACCTTTAAGAGATACTTTAGTTCAGCGCGAGGAACCAAAACTGATGGAACCCCCATTGCCCGGCTCTGCTTGGAAAAACTTTAACGTGTTTAACAGGACGCTGAATTCTTTAGCCGATGCAGAGGCGGAGGATCATGAAGTAAAGAAAACATCTTGACAGAGTAGAAGGATTGTTTCTTTTTTCCAAGAGAAAAGTATTTGGCTAGAAGAGAGCGATTAGTAAATAGCCTTAGCAAAGAATCTGTTGTTTATTGACGAAAGGAGATTTCTTCTTAATTTGTTAAAAATGCCAATTTATACATTGTTTCTGCTTCTGGTCAAATAATGTTATTTTTCTTGGATTCTCAGGTAAAATGAAAACAGTAACCGGTGCTAAATGTGAACATTATCGTCTGTTTCGTAAAAACCCATCCAGCTGATAGGAAATGGGCGCTTTTATTTATTCAAGCTTTTTTGTTATATTACTTCTTTGCCAGTACCTTTTTCAATTTGTAGAGATATACACAGATATTTACAATATTCATACATGGCGAAATAAGTTTTTTCTTTTGTATAACGATTGTAAAATTGAATTGTTTCTACTTTTTGGCTATCATCGAGGGAGCGACAAGGTCCGTTGCTTTATACATAGTAAACACGCTTAATCTCTTTGGAACCGATTTTTACAAACATTTTAAGTCTAATATTATGGTGTACATTCAACAGTGGGAAAAACTTATAAACATCTTTACATGTTGCCCTACATGTACATCTAAAATTAACATGTTCATACACAATAAAAATCTATTGTCGCCATTCATTAATTAGAAAAGTTGCATTTTTTTTATTTTATAAGTAATAGGTAGTTTAAGAAATATAAACTTGAATAAAAAGATTCAAACGATTAAAAACACATGGCCTGCATTGTTACATAACTGATCAACGAAAGAGCACCGCTCCAAGTTTATAGAAATGTGGCATAATAATACACCTACTCTTTGACCACATAGTGCGCTAGTAGCCTGTTACAATAATATACGTTTTGTACAGTATTTTTAGTGGGGCCCTGATATGAGAGGGTGTACTACGCCAGTCTATCGAATAAAACAACTGGTGCACAATGGGTGCTTCTCGAGTAAAATTGTATATGGCAGTTCCATTAGTGACAGGGCCATCTTTAGAAAATTCTCTTTATTACAACCGTGATTGACTAGGAAACGACACATCACTTAAGTAAATAATATCTCGTCGCGCTTCTGCGTATAATCATTGCAGTTTTAATTGAACATAGTTTGTCTCAACAACATGTGAAGTTCAGTGTTGGGATATGTTTCGTAATTCTGATGTTCTTTGATCCTTGTATACAGTTCGGCAAATACTATATTTAAAAGTGTTTACCATGGTTAAACTAGCAAACTTGTTTGGAAACAAAGGAAGAAAGTAAACTGTCGTTTTGAGCAGCGTCCATTATGGCGATTTCGACGTCATTTCATTTTACAAATACAGAACTTTATTTGGTGACACAACAATAAGAAATTGCGTAATACGAAGTCATTTGAAATTTTTCATTGTTATAAGATTTATATAATCCACCGTATCAGCTGAATTTAAAAACATTGGACCTATTCACTCGTATGCCCTTTATAACACTTTTTTTGTTAAATAAACATTAAAGTAAACGATACTCAATCCACGGCAAACATGACTAAGATTGGTAAAATATTTATTGATGCAAATAATATTAATCTTATATCTGTTCAAAAAAATTAAAAACTGAAGATGTCAAGTTAAGGTGAATGAGCCTGCCAGTAACAGGTGTAGAGATTTACAATGAATGATACACCGTGCACTCCCTCAGCCTCTTGTTATACAAACGTCATATATTGCTCCACCCGATAGGCAGCAATGGCACGGTCACGAACTTGGAAGGTACATGAGTATCTTTTCTTTAACAACATAAACTGCTGGGGGTAGCCCCACTTCAATTTCCTGTTTTAACTCTTTTGTGAAATCAAAATATGATACAAGGTAAGTGAACCATTCAAAGGGCAAAGTACTGGCATAAATTTATTGACACCCGAAACAGTGTAGCACTCGTAGCATTTAAGAAGAAACACCGAGATACACGCTTTGTCTCACGGAGTAATGGTTATTTCCAAGGCTAGGTACATACACCAGGCCTACCCAACTACCAGACTCGGCACCTACGGATCCAGAATAAACCGGTATATCAAACCACACTACCCGTTTTCAAGGTGTGTGTCAGATCGCATTATAGAGTATCATACCCCATCACAAATTTTGTAAGCCTACCTGTCATCCGGGTATCGCGCCTCGTTTTCGTCAAGTAGGAGTCGTATGAATACAACAACATTGCATGGCGACAGGCGACTCCCTCTATCTCGTCAGGGGGTGGAAACGCGCTACTTATATGATTAAGACGAGCCTAGTCGTCAGTACCGGATATTGTTTTGTGACCTTGAGGAGCAATTTGGTTTGGTCGTTGCGGCACGCATGAACAGTAGTTGAACTACCACACCTGGGTCTTTTGTTTTTGACAACTGTTCACTCGTCATCGAGGCGCTTGTACAAGACTACAGGCTGATATCTACTAGTACTACCAGTGGCTTCATTAGTAACGTTCACACAATACTTAGTTCCGTCTGTGCGTGCATACCCTGAAAAAAAGCCAGCCTCGCTGACGAGAACAATGGACGTTTCTCACCCTTCTCTAGGATTACCCCTGATCTCGTCCATTCCGCTAGTCATGAAAATATTCCACTCCCGACAGAATATGCTTCCGCTATCAAATTTAGGTCTATTTTTCTAAATTAATAAAGAAGTTTGCAAGTTCTTATTTACAAAACATCATTGGCTATGTTCGAACCTAAATTTTATATTAAAAATTGCGGTATTGTCAGATTTTTAGCATAAACAAGGAAAATTGCAGCAGCGCATGAATATAGATGAGATGCACTACTTTCCAACCCCGCTTAGGATCATTGCTATCACATCGCGCACCAGGCAAAATCGGTGTGGTGGCTGATACTCTGTAATGCGATCTGACACACACCTTGAAAACGGGTAGTGTGTTCTGATATACCGGTTTATTCTGGATCCGTAGGTGCCGAGTCTGGTAGTTGGGAAGGCCTGATACACTGTAGTCGTAAATAAACAGATGGGTTGCGTTTGACATCAGGAACAGCGACTCCCCCTATTGGCCAGCAGAAAGGATCAGCGTTGTTGAAGAAAATGGATGCAACCCTAATCTTGGGTTGGAATTCCGCCAATATTTCTTAATGCTGCGAACGACAACTCGATAAAAGGCCACAGAAATCATCCTTTATTTGTAGATTTTAACAAACATGCTAACGCAAATTTTAAGATGACATTGAAACGAGTGAAATTATTGGTAAAGAAACAAGTGATTGCTACGCTGTTGCTGTGAACTGGTCGTCTGCCACAGAGTTCGGCCAATTTTACGGAGGAGACGCACGCGCAGATCCAACAATACAATAACGCTGAGGCAAATGGATAGCTTGTCTTTTAATGTTTGCATTTCACATCTATATTAAGGAGTTAAAATTTTCATTTGCTGAACAATAGGTTTTCCGTGACAAAATTACTTTATGAATAAGCCGTCTGTGAGTCGTTTAACAGTTCCATGTATCTATGTATCATTTAACAGCCCCATGTATGTACATATGTATGTAGGCCTACTCAAAGCATCAGTAAGGGCGAGAGGAGAAACATTTTCTCCCGGAACGGCATTTCATGCAGAGATCACTGCGGTGCGCTTTCGTCTTGTCCCCATGTCGCTCCATCTTGTCTTCCTTGGTACATGTGCAGTCGCTTCCCTGCAAACCACACAGGGAACACGTCAGTGTTTCTACGCGATATGGGCTGCACTCGATGTTGCACTTCTTACATTTTTGTTTGTAAGCGACCTGAAAATAATATTGGCCTACACCCATAATTCAGTGGAAAAAAACTTTTTTAAAAAAAAAAGAGCGAGTTTTACACAAATCACAACATTCAGTAGAGATAGGCCTATAACTCAAGATACAGTTCATGATGGCTGCGCCAAGGTGCTACACATGACTCAATTCTAACTTATAAACAGATATCGACCCCAACTACGTCAAAACAATCAAAGTAAGTTCATAAAACGAAACGAACATAGTCACTCACCTCTCTTGTTAATTTGTCGACATAAACATGAGAGCTTTCCCAGTGACCATTGCAGTCTGGACAACGGAAAAAACCATATCTCCGACCTAATTTTTGAGCTTGTTTAGGCCCTGAGCGTCCAAATTTAGGCATGTTGACCAGTTGACGCAACTAGTAATGATGGAGTGTCATAACAAACCAATTGCCTTATAAGGTCAGTGAACAAATACAACAAAATATATATTTGGTTTCACTTTGTCAAAGCTCTGAGAACTGTGTGTTTGTTAAGCCTCGATTTCACTTTGCGTCAACCATTCAGTCGGGGGGTGTTAACGTTGAATAATTTAGCGTTTCAAACCAAAAGTGCTTAATGAGCCCAACAACGTATTTTTCCTTTTTATAATGCAAATAAAAACTTTCCCCGAAATCCCATGTAATTATATCTGACAGCGGATTGTTTATTTTTTAAACAGAGCCCAAAAATAAATGTTTGTGCAGGGGAGTATTGGTGTACCGGTGCGGGGGAGTATCGGTGCGGGGACGTACATGTATAGGGATGTAACCGTGCTATTGATACGGAATGCTATATAATAACCATAGTGTGCAATCGTCAATATATAGATGCTATCCATGTACTGGAAATCGTCATAAGATTGAAAAAAAAAAAAAAAAAAAAAAAAAAAAAACGAAGGACAGCACTCAGACATAATAGAGATATCAGGCGTTTATCATAAGCTCAATAATAACAATCTAAATATTGTTCGGTACTGGCAGAAGCAGTGATTAAACTACGTTAGAAACAATATTTAATTACAGTTTTCGTTCAGTGATAAAATATTGGCCTGTCGATGTCAAAATCGGGTGAACAAATACAACAAAATAGGCCTATATATTTGGTTTCACTTTGTCAAAGCTCTGAGAACTGTTTATTAAGCCTCGATTTCACTTCGCAACAACCAATCAGTTATAACTCCTTGGTTTACGTGAAATAATTTAACCTTTCAAACCGAAAGTTGTTTAGATCAAAGTTATCTTTAGCTTAATGAACCTAACACCGTATTTTCCCTTCTTATTATGCAAATAACAGCTATCCCCAAAATTCCATGTAATCATCGCTGACATAATTTACGTTTGCTAGACTGGACCTAAGCAAGTGCTATTGAAACAGAATGCTATATAATGACCATGGTGTACAAAAATCAATATATGAGTGTTATCAATGCACTGTAAATAACAACGAAGGATAGCACTCAGATATAATAGAGATATCAGGCGTTAATCATAAGCCCAGTTATCAACCCAGTTCGGTACTGGCAGAAGCACCGATTAAACTATGTTTGAAAACNTAGCTGTCGTTCTCAAGATAGTACTGACGGTACTAAATGAACACCTGGTCATAAGGAAAGGATTTCTAGATGGGAACGTTCACATTTTGTTCTTATGTATTTTAAGTGAAGTTTATCTTTTGGTGTCAGGTGTCCATAATTGCACATTAGTTATATATTATTGATGTTTTTGTTGACTGCGGTAAACGTAAGAAAGCAGATCCAAAACAATCACTACAGAGATAAAGTTTTACTTATTAATGAAAATAGCTGGGTAGCTGGTTGAGGTCATTGGTTGTTGATATTAAAAAAAAATACAAAGGAAATTCTCGGACGACTTCCATGCCAATTTAAGGAATATATGTGATGAATGAAGACTAGATTTTAAGTTTAGAGATATTTAAATACAGACAAAAATCATAATGATATAATTGTAATGTTTCCCATTCAATCCAGTGCCACATTGAGATTTCAGGGATTTTTTGAGATCATGCAAACAAAAATTATATATATATATATATTGTTCAGCAATTTAAAACGGATTCTTTTCAATTTGAATTCAGTACAAAGACATATGTTTTGTGATTATTGCAACAAATAATGGACTTGTCTTTATACTTAATTGAACTAGCAGTAGTATCCTAAGCACAAAACAATTATTTTTTTCTTGATGTTTATTCTTTCAATTCGAAGAACTGACGTCTAAAGAGGGTCTGGGTGAGAGGGTAAAAACGAAACTTACTGAAACTGCTTTGTATTGTAATTTGTACACAATATGTGATATCAAGCAATCATGGCAAAAGGCAAAATTATCCATAATTTTTACACAGAGAGGTATTAAAGGGATAGCGACTGTTCATTTTGGCCAAAAAATTAATTTTCCTGAGGTAAACAGCAATTTTTCCATACTTACCAATGGTTAGTGAATCCATTTCTACATTCAAAGTTAGTCCCTTTGTTCCTAAAAAAAATTTTTGTAATGATCTCTAAAAAGATATAGATCTCATACGAAGAGTTGTTATCCCTTTAATATTGGCCCTGAATATTCTGTGATTCATTCTGAATTGGAGTGTCTACAATGTCGTGTCTATTATCTTATAAACTTTGTATTTTAATAGACTGAAAATTAAACATGAAAAATATAAAACTAAACTAGAAAAGCACTCAGAGAGCGCAGACCTCCGCCAAGGCAGCAAAGTCTCCATCCAATGCCGTTTCACACCTAAATTTTCAATATTTTTGATTATTGATAGATTATTGATCCAGATCACTGATTATTGTAAATTATTGATCCGGATTACCACCAAAAACTAATCATCTGTTCCTTGGCCCTCTTCTGATACAGTTCCTGTAGTTCCTGAAAATTTCATCAAAATCGGTCCATAACTTTTTGAGTTATGTTGATGACAAACAAACAAACAAACAGGGGTGAAAACAAAACCTCCTTGGCGGGGGTATAATTAGATAAAAGTAATCTTTATTGAAATATTGCAACCCGAAGGTTGAAGTTATACATATATATATGTATGTATGTATGTATAAATTCAACCTTCGGGTTACAGCACGGCTGCCTATATATATATATATATATATATATATATATATATATATATATACTTTTTATTTATTTATTTTCAAACGAAATTTATTTAAATCTGAGAAGCCTGGTCATTTTTGGCCCTGTTACACTCAATAGTCGCTCTCACCTCCCTGGGGAGGATACAGCACGGCTCCCATATTAGGCGCTCTGAGCTATCCAACGTATCATTTCACCACTGCCAGACCAGGCCCCTGCTTCAACCCCTTAGTGCTGAGTGCCAAGCGGGGAGACAGCAGGTACCGTTTATAAAGCACTGGAACATCCCCGGACGGGTTTGAACCCACGCCTCCCGCTCTGGAGGCGGGCACTCTAACCTCAAGGCCATCCGGTCGGTAATAATACCCAATAGGTATATTTTCCCTTTTGAAATGGGGGATATCCTAAGAAATCAGTCTTTTAGATGTATAGTTAGGTGGAAACAAGAGCAGGCAAGTTATATGTAGCCCTACCCAGTACGTACATATTTCAGTTACACTCATCTTTTGAGTCAGAACTAACAGTGAAAGAAATAGATATGTATATATACATACTGTAAATAGATTACAGGGTCAAGAACCAGCATATGCTGCAAATTGTCTCAAATTGCATGTTTTTGTTCTTTCAGTCACCAATGACAAAAACCAAGAAGTTAATTGGAGATGAAGGGATCATTTTCAGGAACATGGTATGTATACTTATTGCACTGGAGGAGCCGGGACGTCTAGAACTAGATGGAGACCGGGTCCTAAATTTTAGGGTGATGCCTTTCCTCTCACTGTGAAAAAATCTGATAATAGAATTGAGTAATGCAAATGAAAACTTTTAACACTAAAACTTGAGTTCCAATGAAACTATTTTTACGAGGCACATTAAGAGGCACTTTTGTAGTACTGAGACAATGTGCTCTGCCAAAATAGGTTCATCTGCATATATATATATATATATGCAGATGAACCTATTTTGGCAGAGCACATTGTCTCATATATATATATGCAGTGACATACATTGATAGGGGCACGGTTTATCTGGACTTATAAATTTAATTTTCGGGCAACATTATTTCGTGGTTCATATCTGAAAAAAGTGTTTAATGTATTTTTATATAAATCTTAAACTTTGTCCCTTGAATTTATTATTCAGTTTGCCACCAGTCCATTATGTTGTCCGAGTCGATCCAGCATTCTCACTGGAAACTATGTCCACAACCATGGTGCTGTCAATAATAGCGTGGACGGGAACTGCAGTAGCCCCATCTGGCAGAAGCAGTCAGAGACGAGGGCCTTTATCACATATCTCAAAAAACAGAAATACACCACTTTTTTTGCAGGGAAGTATCTAAATCAGGTTGGTACTTGTAACTTTATATTTTTTTACATGCAATTCAAAAGTGTTTCAGACTAAGGCTATTCAAGGCATAGTATAAATAAATAAATATATATATATACAGTTTATTTTATTATTCTTTATTTATATTTCATCCTGGTTGGCTTTATTCTTACTTTATGAGCCTAGTTTATTCTTACTTAATGGGCCTCATCCTTGTATTTTTTGGCCAAAAACATTATAAGCTGATGACATGGGCCTAGAAATAGAGAAATTGTTTTAGGTCATTTTCAACTGGATGTGTGTGTCTTCTATTCCAGTATGGCAAGCTTGAGACAGGGGGCCCGGAACATATACCACCTGGCTGGGACTGGTGGAATGGGCTGGTAAGCTTATGTAACTAGAACACCACTTTACCCTGAGTATCAGAGGTGATTGGATGGCATGAAATCATCGGAAGATGGGCCACACATATGATATGGGTCACATGTCATGGGTCACACGTACTGGGTCACACGTAATGGTCACGTCATGTTATTGGTCATGTATCATGCCTGTGTAAATGCATTGTTCATGGTTCATATTCCCAACACAGACCAGAGTTTTCATCCCACGAAAAGTTGAGGACAGAATCAGTCTTGGTCACTTAAATTTTTTTATAGAAACACAACAACTCTCAAAAGTGAAGTGATTATTGAAAATGTTATCTGGTTTTCATAGGTTGGTAACTCCAGATATTACAATTATCACCTGTCTGTGAATGGAACAGTAGAGAACCATAGGGACAACTACCAGATTGACTACTTCACCGACATCATTGTAAGTACTGGCACTACCTTACTGACATTATATATAGTAAGTACTGGTACTACTAGCATAACCGCTGTCATTGTGAGCACAGACACTACCTTACTGATATCATATAGTAGTTTTTGACAAACTAAAGTGAATTTGTGGTTGATTAGAATTATGTATATATAGGGCCTATGGCTTTGAAACACTATAGGGCCTATATGGTACTTTCAAATTTGATATTCGCATTATCCCAGTAGCTACTAAAGAAAAGGCACAAGTTCAAGATTATGCATGGCAGTTCACAAAGTATGAAGAAAAGAAAATACGTAATAAATACAGGCGTTGTGATTTTTAATGAATTTACAAAACATTAATACATGACATTTCTTACATGACATTGAATATTAAAAAGGGGTTATAAAATGCAATCAAATCCAGAGCTCCAGCAGTACACTACCCTTGTTAATTGTTAAAGTTGGGCCCCTGGGCCCATGGTATGTCGGTACGCATTTCACAATCTGTTACGCTCCGCTCTTTTACTCCTTTTCATAAAATTGTTAGGGTGACTCCCGTTAACGCCCAACATAAATACATAATTATTAAACATAGCAAATAATTTTACTTTTCAAATATATTGAATTTATTAAAGCAAGGAGTTATAACAGAAGGCCTTCTGTTATAACTCCTTGGTTAAAGGTACATACGAACCGAGCATCGGTGGAGCGTGGATTCCCAGTAACACCTGTAAACCACTTCTACTAGATTCTTATATGACTCAAATAAATTCGACATGCCAAGGGATAAACTGAATAGATCACTCGATCAGCCATAAAAGACCTTTAGACTGCTCCTTTCTTTAAATTTTTGGTTGTAAATTTAACCTACTTCCGTGACCTACTTTCCTGCCCCATTGACATACAGCTTAGAATGCCAGCAGAAAAATCTGTTCAAACATCATTTTCGGGTAAAATTAAACAATGCCTTTTGGTAATTCTCTTAGTTATACTACTTGAAACTATATGCTGGCATTTGGTTGGTTTTTGTGACAAAAAATTGACTTTGTATGCATCTTTAAGTTCTGATAGAAAACTTCAGATTAAAAGCAGCAATATTTTTACAATGCAGAACAGAAGAGCAGAGGAATTCCTTCAACTGCAGTCACCTGATTCAGTACCCTTCTTCATGATGCTGTCCACCCCAGCCTGCCATGGACCCTTTACCCCAGCCCCCCAGTACAGTAACAGCTTTAATGACATCAAGGCACCAAGGAATGGAAGCTTTAATGTGTATGGGAAGGTGAATGCTTCATTGCAGACTGAATAACATCTCTCTCTGTCTCTGTCTCTCTCTCTCTCTCTCTCTCTGTGCTCATATATTATATTATATTATATTATATTATATTATATTATATTATATTATATTATATTATATTATATTATATTATATTAAATACTTTATAAGATATTACTATGCAATATTACTAATATAATGATATTTCAAGATACGCTTTGTAATATTTCAGGACAAGCACTGGTTGATAAGGCAGGCCAAGTCTCCTATGTCTGCTCATGTCATTGCTACCATAGATAAGGTTTTTAGGCACAGGTACTGTATGTAGGCCTATGTGTGGTGTGCAGCAAACATACATATAATTTACAGGTTTTTAATCTCTCTTATGTCAATTGTCAGAGTTTCCATTTCAAATTCACGGAAAGTATGGATTAGTAGAGACTTATGAATATTTTAAGAGACTTAGTTATTTCTTTTTTATCGGAATGAATTATTTTTTGTAAAAAGTTTAATCTTTCCACCTATAGATGGCGCACCTTGCTGTCAGTGGACGATATGGTTGAGAATGTGATCAACTTGTTAACTCAGCGAAAACTGCTGGACAATACCTACGTGTTTTATTCCTCCGACAATGGCTATCATCTCAGTAAGAAATAGAGATGAAATGGGGAAAATGATAACAAAGTTGGAGTTTTGTCAGAGCTCGTCAGACTAATGCACAGTTTTAGCAAGTTTATTCCAGTTTTATGTCAAGAATTAAGGTATAAAATGTATGGTTAAGACTTTGTTTTCCATATTAGTGTATGTGTCTGAATGCCAATGTGCACACTTTCATAAACATATTATAAGAGTTTTCCATTCTTTACATTGAGAAAAAAGTGCAAAATTGCTGAATTAAAATGTAACAGAGGTTGTAACAGACACTTGAAAAGACAGTCCATAATAGAAGAATGCATACTAATAGTAATAAAATGAAAATGTAGAATATATATATATATATATATATATATATATATATATATATATATATATATATATATATCAACTCTTTAATTATTTCTTTTAAAGGTCAGTTTTCTTTGCCACTAGACAAACGGCAACTGTATGAGTTTGATGTGCGAGTACCACTGATGGTCAGAGGACCAGGCATCAAGGCTGGTCAGCTCAGAGAGGTACGTACTAGTGACAACACGAATCCTCCCCTGTATCCAATAGGGGGCGTCTCGATGGCTTGAAGGTTCATTGGCCTGAAGGTTCATTGGATCGAAAAATGGTAACATTTTCATCGTTTTTTTTCTAAATCAAGGGTGCATTGCTCCGAAGGTTCTATAGCCCCATGCAATATACAAGAGCAGATTTATGTGGAAGTGTATAGCCGAGATATAATTTGGTCTTGTATATATAGCATACAGTAGAGGATGAGTAGTTGTAGCTGACTTACTGCATGGCTGGGACTTCTAATGATATGATGAATGCATCAAAAGGTATGAAAATTCAGGCGAGAGTGTAAGCCAAATTTTGTTTAATTAAAGCACAGACTGTGCGATAATAAGTGATGTGCAACACTGACCAGTGTGATGTACTGCTGCATATTGGTTAGAATATTGTACAGTACATGTACTTCTAAATTGAAAAGCATGCATGGAGACAAATGATACAAACATACAGTATTACAGAGGGAAATGGATTTATTCATAGATTGTAATTTTACATCTCAGACTGTCACAAGAAATGCAAAGTAATATTTCATTCCAGGAAATCATTCTAAACATCGACTTTGCGCCAACATTTATAGCTCTGTCTGCCCAGACTGCCCCATCACAAATGGATGGCATGTCTTTCCACAACCTTCTAGCGCGGAATGCCACAATTCCAGCCTCCAGTTGGCGAGAGAGTTTTGTGATTGAACACCAGGGGGAGTACACACAGATAATTCCTAATTGCCCTCAATATGATTACATGAACCTGGCTGTAAGTCTTCATGTATGGTTGTTTAATTGATTCTGCATTACTGTTTATGATTTTTTCATTTGAAGCTTTTAGTAGATATAAAAAGTAGATTACTGGTTTCACATTACAATTACTTAATAATACACTGAATTAAAAAAAAAAAAAACAAGTACTGTAATTTTGAACAAGACTATGGAGCTGTAATTTTAAATAGATTGTAGAAGTAAGACTTTAAAATTGTACAAGTTATGTTAACGATTATAATTTTGATAAGAATGTTCCTGCTAGTTTTTCAAGTTGTTTGTTTCATATTTTGTCCAATTTGAAAATGTTTGATTTTTGTAACAAAAAGTTATAGAACTTGGAATGAGGTGATGTTTGAAAATCACATTTGAATCTGTAAAATCTTTTGAGCTGGTGTGACAGGAATGGTACATGTAGTATAAGTTGTCTGCAGTGAGCTGTATTCCATTCCCATTTTTTTGTACTGGTGCCATTTGTCTCATATATTGGGCGCACATCTGTTCCATCTGACTCCATAACTTCCTGTTAACCCTAACCTGCACTTATCATACATATGGGACCCTGTACTTCCATTCCTGTGACTACCATTCCTGAGCCTCTGATTTGTTCTATGTGGTTATTGTAGCACTGCAACGCCCATTGTGTGTGTGAGGATGCCAAGAACAACACATACAGCTGTGTAAGGACGCTCTCAGCAGACACCAACTACATGTATTGTGTGTTTGAGGACACTGAGGTGAGCTGGGAGTCCAAGGTTGTCTTTTAAGATATTTTATTAAAATATCCTTGTTTAGAGTTGACTTTCTTTTTTAAATTTTCTCCTGAATTTTGTTTTCATGAGTTAGCTTTCTTTCTTTTTTTTTTGTTTGCTTGTTTTTCTTTATTTCTGTATTAAATTTATCATTTATTCTTTCCTTCATAATTTAATAAATATGTGATTCATTTTATGTTATCATAGATAAGACAGCAATCACTGATAAAGCAAACTGGTTGTTGAAGCCATTTTGCTTAAATTTTTCTTCCAGATTAAATTAAATGGTTTATGCGATGCAGTGTTTTTTCTTTTTTTTTTCTTTTTTTTTTGTAATTTCTGCAATAGTAAATTTAAACTTCTTCTTTTGAAGATGTGTGTGTGTGTGTGTGTGTGTGTGTGTGTGTGTGTGTGTGTGAACAACAATATGAGACTTTTGTAGACCCAATAAAAAGACATAAGCACTAAAAACAATATTAATTAAGAATGCACCATTATAAAGAGCAAATACCTCTTTTCAGAATTTTGAAGAATTTTATGACCTGAATAAAGACCCCGACCAGCTTTCCAATGCCATCCAAACTGTGGGTAAATCAGTACTAATGGACCAGAGAAAGAAGTTAATGGAGCTGTCTGTCTGTCAGGGACCCTCTTGTCACAAGATATGACCACCCCACAAACTTGTAAATCGAGGTCATCGAGCCTGATTTGATTTTTAAATCATAACAAATTTCAGTATGTCTGCTTTTTGAAATTTATATGTTTACAAAAAATATTATTATGAGCTTTGAAAAACTGTTTTATGCAGCCATGCTTAAAACCTTTGAATATTTTATAATTACAGTTATAAAGATACTGTTAAAATATATATTTCAAAAATTCTCTTGAAGATTATCAATTATTATGGAGAATATATCATTTAGCTAAAAGGAAAATTTCATTTTATGCCTGGTATACTTTTAAAGAAAAGAGATACATTTGTACGTCATTGTACATGTGTGCAATTAGAACATAAAAACCTTAAGAGTCTTTAATCAGCATTCCATTCTATGTGTAGTGTTTTTTAGCGCAAGTCATCTTTTGCTCGAGCTACCACGTTTATGAAAGGTTTTATTTGCATCATGGTTTATAAAGATGAAAACTAGGGCATTCAAGGAATAAAATGTCTGTTTTTCACAAGAATGTCAACCTATAAGATTAGGTTGGTACTTATTACTCTCCCTAGTTGAAGTACAGCCTGATCTAGACCTGTGATTGGCTTACCCTCTCCCAGGGCGACCGATATTACAGGCATATTTTCCACCAGAAGATTGACTACATTAAGGCAGAGACATAATCTGCAAATATCTAGTGAAAAACCAATCTGTTGTCCTGGTAGAGGGCATGATTGGTAAATTTCAGTGATAACTAAAGCAGGGTAGCTTTAGAGAAGGCACCTTTTTAGCAGATCGTGATACATGTATAAAATGGGAAGTAGTATCGTGTACATGCAAGTAGAACAGAAATATTGTGGCATTTGAAGTAGTGCAATTCTCTTGTTTGTTTTTTTAATGGAAGACAAAAACATTATTTATTATAGTAGATCCAAATATATAATATAAGGATAAGCGCAAGAAAACTGGTTTTGGTTTCATAGTTTAAGTTGAAGACGTTTGCAATCAATAAAAAACAGACATTGATAATAAACTTTTTTTGTTTTTTCTTATTCTTCTTTTTGATGTTACATTTTATTGTGGTGTTTGTTGTCTCATTGTGTGACAGGTTTATACTGTTCTCAAGCGCTCCATTGAAACCCTGAGTTTAAGAAGTCCCCAGAATATGGTACCGACAGAGACCTGCTATATGTGACAGTGGTGGACTCAGGGACGTGTCAGGAGGCCCTGACAACCCCCCCCCCCCCTTAAATAATCCTGGGTCCGCCCCTGTGTAATAGGAGAGAAGTGGGTCTCCTGGTGCACAGATGTACCCTCCAAAACTCAGGGTGTTAGGTTTCACCCCTGATGTGTGCCCAGTAATAACTACAGCTTACCGTGCTGATAACCGTATTGGAAAAACCACACAGCTGGCTTCACAAAATTGACATTCTGGTAAAACGCCATAATTTGATTTATTTCTCTCAAAAACTTCCTCAGTTCGATCTTATAACCTGATATTTAATGGAATGATTTATCAAATATATCTGGATGAAGATATAAATGGAATAAAAAAAATACCAAAAGCAAAAACTATTGTCATTGTACATTATATCTGTTGGTTATTTATTATTATTATTATTGTCGCAGATTTTGCAAACACGATTTAACAACGGAAATCGTACAGCTACTAAACCAAGTTAATTGGGCCCATCTCGCGTGCTCTTCATCACTAGATTACTTCACCAAAAGACCTATTTGTCGGAGTTCCAAACTGATAGCTTGAACATGGATAGTGTGACTAGCTTTGCTGGTGGTTTTTAATATTTGCCAAGGTTTACTGGTAAAGCGTGTAGTCCGTATTCATAAATGTTTAGTAAAACAATGTCACAAGCCATACACACTCAGTGGTCTTTGAGTATGTCTGTCTTTGTATCTGTCAAGCCTTATTATAAAAATGCCATGTAATGCAACTGAATAAATGAAAGAAACAAACAAACAAAAAACATAACTTGCATTTTTATTCTAGTTATTCTGTTTACCACTTGGTGGAATATTGCCAGTTCGACATTTCAGACAGACGGACAAACACACATTAACTAAGATGGAAATACAGTGAAGTGCTAAATCACAAAGTATTAAATACAACATATTACATAAATATTTGTCATTTTTTAAATAAAAGCTTTCACTGCTCTAAATCTGGAATCGATTTCCTTTGAGCTTTATCAAAGTATCCCCTGGTCATTTTGAGGCAGTTACTGATACTTGCATCTGCTGGTAGATAATCTTAGTTGCATGTTACCCAGGTAATGTAAAAGATGTGAATGTATCCTCCAGCTCGTCCAACAGCTACGCTCTTAATTTGCACCAAGGCCCGTTCACACAAGGCTTTATTTAAAACGGATATAAGTCTAAAAAGCGCCATCAAACCAACAAGTTTAAATAACAGACATGGATTAAAATATCCGTGGTGAAAGGATAACACCAGTGTGAATCTACTTCTGAAATTCCTGATTTATTATGATTGCTTTCTTCGTATTTTATTATAGTATTTACATACAATATTTAAACGTATTCTTATTAGGTATCATTGTTATTTTATTTGATCATTCAAAACCATTCTTGTTGTCTGATGGCGCGCCGTAGACATTTGTTTTAAACAATTAATCGTCGGGATGTATTTAGATCTATATAACATTCAGACATAAGCTTATAGCTTATCCATTGAAAGTACTCCAATGTAAGGTTGAGAAAAATGCCCAAGGAAAATCTTCCCGTCATGTGGAAAAGCCTCTGCTACATATCCTATGACGCTACCATCTGGGTCGTGAAAACTTTGCACTATTTCTCCATTTTGGTCGATCTCAATAAACATGGCTCGCTTACTAATAAAGTAGTCATAGAGTCTCAATGGCGTTACCTGAAACATACAAACACAAGCACTTGAATTGTCTACTATAAAATATTACGGTAGAGCTTTTATATTTTGAAAAAAAAGTCAAATCCTTTTACATTAACGACAAGGAAAAATAAAAAACAAATCGAATATATTTCATAACGAAATTGATGTATGTAAATATTCAATCAAGGAGATGTATAAAAACAAGGTCAATTTCGTTTATTCATCAACATACAGTCACGTTACTTCAAGCTTTTCAGTGCATCTGCAGTGTCTTTTAAGGTTAAAAAACTTTTAAAACTTCAATCCAGAGTTTGCAAAGTTAAACTTTTAAGTTTAAATTTAGATTATATACTTGCACTTAATGAATGTCGGCACTTACCTTGGCAATGAACCTTTTGAGACCAGGGAAGGGGGCAGTTAAATCAACAAAAGGCCCAAACCGGCTCATCCCTTCGAACCGCAGCGCCGTCAGCCCCACGTAGAACGTCCCCTGGGGGGTCGGGTTGATGTTGTCCGGGTAGCCAGGCAAGTTCTCCGCCAGAATTTCTCGCACACCTGCCTTAGAACCCCTGAGGTGCAATCTGAAAGGTTCAACAAGCAAATTGACGTAAAGGGACACGAAAGCAGAGGTGTAATGGGAAAATATTTTGTCACATTTTATTGTGTAATTTTAAGCATGTATTTGAAAGATCTAGAGCCTTAAGTTTACAACGACAGGTCTTTTGTTGTCCAGAATCTATACATTTTTTTAAATTCCTCTCTAGTAAACCAAATGCGTTTTACAAGATTTTTCAAGTATGATTTTTTTTATTAAATTTCATTTTACTGCCGCTCTGACAAAAGTGTGGTACGAGGATATTGGCTCGTTGAAATATAGATAACAAAAATATGTTGATAATAAACAGATAAACGTAGGCTTAAGGAGCAATGAAACTTTGTCGACGCGCTTGCTCTTCGGAACCATCTAGCAGGTCAAGGAGACTTTCCTTTCTTAGACCCCATTTCCTGCGGGTTCACGCTAAATAGCTGTCAGCCGAGTGGGCACAAAAGTTAATTACCCCCTTACAGCTTGTAGTAGGCGGGACGGACATTTAAGCCGGATTCGGACAGTAATCTAGTGAGACTCCCCGCGGGGATAGATCGATCTAAAAGCTCTGGGAATACGCCCTTAGACGCTGGGACACCACTTACTTAGTTATCCTGGCCGCGGTCATCTCGACCACCAGAACATAGCTCTGGTCAGTACTGACCGCCACACCATTGGCCAAATAGAGTCCAGTTAACAGCGTCCGAACCTTTCTGGTTTTTACGTTGTATGCGAGAAGTCTGCCCATTGCATTGGTCTCTAATACCTAAAGAAAAACGTACCTTTTTTACGTGGAGTTTTACTTGAACACATTTAAATGTATTACTTATTACCTTCCCTTACATCGAATGCCAGAGTATTGGAAACTATACTTGATCATGTCGAAAAAGATTTAATATAAACCACTGATCAATAAAATTCAGGGTGCTGTCGATTTTGTACGGCCCATACGGCCAACCTCCGCACTGACGCTGTATAAAAAGAGATGGTTTATATGTACGGGCACTATGCGGCCATCGCAAGGCAGATATAATCTAGTAAAGGCTTAAACTACAATAATGTAACACAGAGAGGGGAAAGAAAGTTTTCAGTCCTTCTTAAAATCTTGAAATTTGTAATTGCGACCTCTTATTTCACGCGCTAGGGCCATAGCGATCACGCTATAGGCAAACCACCGTTTTGTAGCACCCACTTCCTTTAACATTCTCATTTTTTCTTTTTTCTTTTTTTTTTTTATAAAATCCGCCTTCTTTTTTTCAGTTTTCATACATGACATTCATTGAAATGACAAGTATATTATTCGATGTCTCGATATAAACTCACTGCATATTTGTATTGGTTCCTCTGCCACTTAGGCGTGGAGTCCGTGAAGTAAACCACCCCGTCCTTGGACACATCCAGACCGTTCAGAAAACGAAAGGGAAGCCCCTCGGATCCTGAAATTAAACATTGGGTTGATTAAGTACTACATGTAATTATTTAAAATTGTTTACCCCATCGGTTGTGTAATTTATTATATACATGTATGCTATATCCATATTTGATAAGTCTTACGTGGAGTTCAGTACACCCATTGGATTATTGTAGAAAATGGACTGATATTGCAAGTTGGAGTCAGAGAACGCATTCAGAACAGAGGATCCGCGGAGTAACTGATCCGCTGACTAAATATGGCCGACCACACTTAAAAGCAAACCGCTTAATCCCCTGATGGTCTCCCTGCCTCCACACGCGCCATTAAAACGGATTAAATCACGGCTACGAGGTTTAATTGCAAGGCCCCGGTTTAATTGCAATACTCCTGCAGCATATCTAGTCCGCCGATCTGTTAGTCCACGGATCAACTAATTCTGAACGCGCTCCATACACAGCGTTCAAGGTGAACCTCACAAAGATTAAAACATCACATTTCGAACTTTTGAACTTCTTATCTGACACGTGGTGCATTGTATTTTTCAAACGGGCTGGTTTAAACTGTATGTGTTCATGTACATGTGAGATGTCTTGACCTTCGCTCAATTACCAGGTCCTCGTTTTTGGTAAGGTCTCTTTTATCATCAGTTGAAAAGAGCAACACATTCATGATATGGGTTTAAAAAGATATTGATGAAGATTTGGACAGTATTTTACGCCACTAAAATTTTTGAGTAGTGAACCCTAAAGTCTTACTGTCAGAACATATAACATTTGATAGCAGGGAATGAAACGGAGGGCGACCTCAGTTGACATATATGTAAATACATAGGCGTAAGTGCCGGGGTGGAAGGTAGAGGCTAGGATCCCTCCCCTCACCCCTCAACATTTTCAGCTGCGACTGCCTAGCAGCAGGAAATCGAGGAGGCTAAGTGAAAAAAAAAACACAAATCATTCTTTTATTCTGATTATTACACCCTTATCCCCACCCACCCACCCACCCACACACACACACATCAGGGGCGGATCCAGAGATATTTTCTGACAGTCTTCCATATTATATTTATTGATCCATCCTCCATTTTTTGACCGTCTTCCGACAGAAAAAAATAGATAACTGTCAATGTAAACTTGAAAATCTGACCGTCTTCTGGAAGACCCAGAAGACGGCCTAAATCCGCCCCTGCACATTTCTGCTTCCCATTCGCTAGAATGCTTGGCTTATCCTTGACTTCCTCGTGTGTTGGTGACCGGTCAATGACATTTCACTATCAGAGATAGATGACCTTCTGTAACACGCAGGGACACGCAGGAATTTCGATGTATTGTGTCTTTCTCCGTCTCCCTCTATATCGTGTTACTGGCAAGGGTTGTCCGGATGGGTTTTGATATACTTTTGTTAATAACCTGAATGCTATCAATCTGATTTCAAGAACTGACAGTTATATCATTCGGACTTATATTATTATAAGATATTATTCTTATCTTTTTTTCTCCCCCCCCCCCCACGAAGTTATGTCATTCCACAAGCTGAATCAAGATTGTGCATTAGGCCTATAGGAAAAAAATCTTCAATCATTCATTATATGCCAATAAACTCTCTTTTACAGCCCCTCATTTAAAGTAAATTTGGCAGTCCATTTTCTCAAGGTGTTTTCTTGGAAAAGAATGTGTGTGAGGCTCACAATCTCGTCTAAAGAACAGGGTATATAAAAACACGTTTGCTTCCCACAAGTACATACAAACATAAAAAAAGAAAAAAATAAAGTTTCACCAATTTGCACCGCTTTTCTATTTTTAAATCAACTTTTTTTCTAATACCACCCAATAAATCTACAACAAATTTGCCCGGTATACTTACCATTCTCGCTCGGTACTAGCGTCTCCATCTCCTGACTGGGGAGGTTAAGGCGCATCAATCCTTGGTATGCGTCCACAAAGTACAAGTGCCCGTCCGGCCCGATCTTCATTCCTTTGGGTCGACCACACATGGGCTCGTACGCCAGTGTCCCTGCACAATAATGGTGAAAGAATTATGAAATAATTGTTAAATAATGGTTAGAGAATACATGTTTTCACCTGCAGGACACGCTTGAAGTCCCAGATCTTACGGGAAAATCGTCCCTGTTACGGTTTGATGAGTTTTTTTCGGTAATCTCTGAAACGCAGGGTGACATCGCAGAGTCAAATTGAAGGCCTCACGATTATTGCCGTCTGGGATTTTGAGTCTCAGATTAGTGAGCACGAATACCCGTATTCACGGCTCGGATCAAGATTTCATGGCACGGACTTATAATGACTAGCCACCAACAAGAAATTGGCAAAGTTCAAAATTGTCGGTAAAAGTCCCATTAAAAACCATGCAGGTTACATTGTACAATGTTTTAGTATTGTTAATGTTCTGAAAGTGACACTGGAAAGCAAGTAGAAAAAGGGCCCGCCGCCTGATGTGTTTTAAACATTAGTTGAAATCTAAGGCGCCATTCAGAACAGCAGACTAACTAGTCCGACGGCCAAATAGGGCCGACCCCCTTGAATACTTCCCCAGGGGATATCTATTCAAGCTTCGTTCATGGTCGCCATACTCTGAATGGGTCCCCTATTCTGAATGGAGCCTTATAAATCTGCACTCCCACCCAGAATCGTGAGAGGCCTCGAACGAGAATTTACTTACCACATTCCGTCAAATTCTGTCCAGTTCTTCCCAATTCCTCCAAGTGATTACCGCGAAATCGGACTAATCTACCGTCATTCAGACCTGTGTATATATAACCTAGAGAAAGGAGAAAATATATTAGTTGAATCGAAAATAATTTTAGATTTTCATATTGTATATAAAGTGTTGTATGCCATATCCATTTACTTAATTGCATTTTGTGCTGTTTGTTTTTAAGGGCGTTTCGGCAAAAGCCAGTATTAAAAAAACTAAACCATTAGCTGCTGAAGGAAAACAGCACAATTGTTCGTCTCTGAATAAACTTTTTATGTTCATCGTCCTTCAACTTTGTTCTTTGCTATTCCTACACGCCCTCTCAGTGTATAATTTTCTTTCTGTTCACGTAATATTTTACCAACATTCAGAACAGCGGATTAACAGATCCCCGGATCAAATATGGCGACTCACTAAAAAGCTTGCCGCTTAATTCCCGATTAGACACTAAATAGATTCCCCGTGAGGATTACGCAACAAGCGTACAAGTGGGTCGGTCATAGGTTATCCGCGGATATGGTAGTCCTCTGCTCTGCATGCGCTCTATGATGTAATCCGACCGGTTTAACCTGCATTCCTCTCCGTTTCTTACCGTTTTTATCCACCGTGAAGGACTCGGGTCCGGCTAATCGACCCTCAAACCACCTCTCCGCCTTCTGTAACTTGTAGTTCACTGCTAGCGCGCCCTCCAGTCGGGGAGCGGGGGGATAGCTGATTAAAATAAAAATGTGGCACATGTATACACTGTTTGCTGCAACGATATTATTTTATTCCCCGTTATCTTTTGTGTTACATAATCAAAGAAATATATGTTGTGTGAGTGTATCATACTTTTTCGATATTTTTGTCTAAGTTTCATACGTCAAGCATGCCCAACTGTTTACGCCCAGGACTCATTAGTTTTCTTTGAAAGTGTACAAGTATAGAAACAGTACTGTGAGTCACCGTCAGTGTCCCGAAACTCAGCATTGTAGTAAGAAGAAAAGATATTAAGAAATACAAAGCCGTGCCACCGGCAGTGATGTTAAACTCAAGGTTCACAGGCTCAGGTCTATACTCACGTGAAGGGTTCTGGCTGTATTGGTGACGGGTAGAGATACAGGGCCACGCACGCTAACACTGCCACCGTCACTGCTATCACGTAGTGTTTCTTACTCTCCCTAACAAAATGATAATATATACGAAATAGAGTTTTGTGTATATACGTGTATTTAAAATATGATCAAAAGGTAAATTACTTGTACTGAGATAAGTTCAACAAGAAGTGATTGGTGTATTTAATGTGTGTTTAAGATCGTGCTCTGGGTTACTTTAAACTCTTCTACTCAGACGTGTAGAAATGACGCTTTGTAATTTTATTTCCGTGTTTCCCCATTTATTTTCTGCGTCATTTTGAAAAAAATTTATAATAAAAAATTGCAAGTATCATCTATATCTAACTTGACACATACATCTATATACACATCTATAACATGGAACCCATCGAACCTGCGTGACGCATGCACAGGCGTATCTCACCTGATTTTTTTGTGTTCACATTATAAAAGCGGTCTGGAAATAAAGTCGGCGGATACCTAACGGAACATATGGCCAGAAAAACCACCTTTCGTTATTGGCTTTTGAGATAAAAATGTAGCTAACATCACCGCTTCAGCATAGACCAAGTGCTGACCTGAAATAGTATACTTGGCGAGCAGCTACCTTTTGAAAAAAGTTTTGTTTGTAAACACACTACAAATACACACTACTAGCCAATGCGGCCTTGGGTTGCACCTAGAGCACACAGCTTTGCTTTCAGACAACAGTGTCCGCTCTGTATCTAGTATTTCGTTTTTAGGCAACAGTATCCATGTGTTTATAGTGATGCGTTTTCAGGCAATGTTCATCTTACACTATAGTGATTCGTTTTCAGACAATTTTGCACACCCGAACGTGGCAATTTCTCTTTCATTTAAACAGGTGCACTGACATTGTCCCTGGTCAGTCTGACCAGGCTGGTCTGACCGTAGACTTAAAGGTAGACGTGTGTTANTGTTTAAATTTAGATTATATACTTGCACTTAATGAATGTCGGCACTTACCTTGGCAATGAACCTTTTGAGACCAGGGAAGGGGGCAGTTAAATCAACAAAAGGCCCAAACCGGCTCATCCCTTCGAACCGCAGCGCCGTCAGCCCCACGTAGAACGTCCCTTGGGGGGTGGGGTTGATGTTGTCCGGGTAGCCAGGCAAGTTCTCCGCCAGAATTTCTCGCACACCTGCCTTAGAACCCTTGAGGTGCAATCTGAAAGGTTCAACAAGCAAACTGACGTAAAGGGACATGAAAGCAGAGGTGTACTGGGAAAATATTTGGCACATTTTATTGTGTAATATAAAGCATGCATTTGAAAGAACTAGAGCCTTAATATTTTGAAATGGTAAGTGCGCGAAACAGAATATATCTAGTTCTACATTAGAAAAAGGCATGCGTGCATCCACGCACACGCAAACACGTATACGTTAATCAGACAGAATTTACAAAGACAGTTCTTTTGTTGTCCAGAATCTATACAATTTTTAAATTCTTCTCTAGTAAACCAAATGCGTTTTACAAGATTTTTCAAGTATGATTTTTTAATTAAATTTCATTTTACTGTCGTGCTGACAAAAGTGAGGTATAAGGTAATTGGCTTGGTAAAATAAAGATAACAAAAATATGTTTATAATAAACAGATAAACGTAGGCTTAAGGAACAATGAAACTTTGTCGACGCGCTTGCTCTTTGGAACCATCTAGCAGGTCAAACAGACTTTCCCCTTTCTTATACGCTGGTGCACCATTTACTTGGTTATCCTGGCCGCGGTCATCTCCACCACCAGAACATAGCTCTGGTCACTACTGACCGCCACACCATTGGCCAAATAGAGTCCAGTTAACAGCGTCCGAACCTTTCTGGTTTTTACGTTGTATGCGAGAAGTCTGCCCATTGCATTGGTCTCTAATACCTAAAGAAAAACGTACCTTTTTTACGTGGAGTTTTACTTGAACACATTTAAATGTATTACTTATTACCTTCCCTTACATCGAATGCCAGAGTATTGGAAACTATGCTTGATCATGTCGAAAAAGATTTAATATAAACCACTGATCAATAAAATTCAGGGTGCTGTCGATTTTGTACGGCCCATACGGCCAACCTCCGCACTGACGCTGTATAAAAAGAGATGGTTTATATGTACGGGCACTATGCGGCCATCGCAAGGCAGATATAATCTAGTAAAGGCTTAAACTACAAGAATGTAACACAGAGAGGGGAAAGAAAGTTTTCAGTCCTTCTTAAAATCTTGAAATTTGTAATTGCGACCTCTTATTTCACGCGCTAGGGCCATAGCGATCACGCTATAGGCAAACCACCGTTTTGTAGCACCCACTTCCTTTAACATTCTCATTTTTTCTTTTTTATTTTTTTTTTTCATAAAATCCGCCTTCTTTTTTTTCAGTTTTCATACATGACATTCATTGAAATGACAAGTATATTATTCGATGTCTCGATATAAACTCACTGCATATTTGTATTGGTTCCTCTGCCACTTAGGCGTGGAGTCCGTGAAGTAAACCACCCCGTCCTTGGACACATCCAGACCGTTCAGAAAACGAAAGGGAAGCCCCTCGGATCCTGAAATTAAGCATTGGGCTGATAAGTACTACATGTAATGATTTAAAATTGTTTACCCCATCGGTTGTGTAATTTATTATATATATATATGATCTATCCATATTTGATAAATCTTTTGTGGATTTCAGTACACCCATTGGATTATTGTAGAAAATGGAGTGATATTGCAAGTTGGAGTCAAAGAGCGCATTCGGAACCGAGGATCCGTTGACTAACTGATCTGCTGACTAAATATGGCCGCCCACACTTGAAAGCAAGCCGCTAAATCCCCTATCTGCCTGCCTCCACACGCGCCATTAAACGGATTATTCTCGGCTCCGAGGTTTAATTGCAAGGCTCCTGCAGCATATCTAGTCCGCCGATCTGTTAGTCCGCAGATCAACTAGTTCTGAACACGCTCCACACACAGCGTTCAAGGTTAACCTCACAAAGATTAAAACGTCACATTTCGAACTTTTGAACTTCTTATCTGACACGTGGTGCATTGTATTTTTCAAACGGGCTGGTTTAAACTGTATATGTTCATGTACATGTGAGATGTCTTGACCTTCGCTCAATACCAGGTCCTCGTTTTTGGTAAGGTCTCTTTTATCATAAGTTGAAAAGAGCAACAAATTCCCTCTCTCTCTCTCTCTCTCTCCCCCCCCACCCCCCCCCCCCCCCA